GCTCTTTTAACTTCTTTCCACAAATGCTCGATTGGATTGAGATCTGGTGATTGTGGGGGCCACCTAAGCAAGGTAAAGTCTCCCTCATGTTCTTGAAACCACTCCTGCACAATACGAGCACCGTGGCATGGCGCATTGTCTTGTTGGAAGAAGCCATCTCCATTGGGATACGCCATCAACATGATAGGATGAACCTGATCAGCAACGATACTTAGGTAGGTTGTGCTATTCAGACGTTGTTCCACACGAATTAAAGGGCCCAAATCATGCCAGGGGAACATGCCCCAAACCTTAACACTGCCCCCACCAGCTTGAAGGGGTTGTACTCATGCATGTGGGGTGCATGCTTTCATGCTGTTTCCACCAAATTCTCACTCTGCCATCTGCATGATGCAACTGGAAACTTTTTCCAATGCTCGACTGTCCAATCCTTGTGTTCCTGTGCGAATTGGAGATGCTTTATCTTGGTAACTGCAGACAGCAAAGGTGTTTGAACAGGCCTTCGACTTCCATATCCCATACGATGCAGTGTACAGCTAATTTGCCTACAAATGTCAGGTGGTCATAATAATCTGGCCACTCGGTATATATATATTAACATTCAAAGGCTGTTAAATCACGTTGTTTACTCATATCTTCAGAAAAAAATCACTTCTACGGTTGTGGTAAACAACCTGTTTCCCTATTTATAATGGTCTGGCCCTCTAGCAACTTCAGCGCAAAATTATAGCTAATTTGCCTACAAACATCAGGTGGTCATAATAATTTGGCTACTCAATGTATATTGGTCTGTTTTGTTATCCAGTCAGCTACCCTGGATTTGATTGGAGCGTTTAATCCATTTATATTTAAAGCAATTAGTATTAGGTTCATATTTATTGCTGTTTTATTCTTTATAACTATGTTTCTCTTTTTTTTCTTCTTTCTTGTTCTTAAAGAAGACCCTTTAATATCCGTATAATACTGGTTTGGTGGTGATGAACTCCTTAAGCTTTTTCTTGTCTAGGAAGCTCTTTATCTGTCCTTTGATTCTAAATGATAGCTTTGCTGGGTAGAGTAATCTTAGTTGTAGGTCCTTGCTTTTCATCACTTTGAATATTTCTTGCCACATCCTTATGATCTGAAGAGTTTCTGTTAAAAAATCTGCTCATAGTCTTATGGGAGCTCCCTTGTAGGTATTTAACTAACCACCTTTCTGTTGCTGCTTTTAGGATTCTCTCTTTCGCCATTGTAATTATGATGTTTTTTGGTGTGGACCTTTTGGGATTTATCTTGTTTGGGACTCTATGTGCGTCCTGAACTTGTGTGTCTTTTTCCTTTACCAGGTTAGGGCAGTTTTTAGCCATTATTTCTTCAAATAGGTTTTCAATCCCTTGCTCTCTTCCTCTTGTGGTGGTACCTATGATGTGGATGTTGTTACACTTCATGTTGTCCCAGAAGTCTCTTAAACTATCCTTATTAAAATTTTGTTTTTCTTTTATTGTTTTGATTGGGTGTTTTTTGCTACCTTGTCTTACAAATTGCTGATTCAATACTCTGCTTCATCTAATCTGCTGTTGATTCCGTCTGTTATATTCTTCATTTCTGCCAGGTTCTTTTTTATGGTTTCTATGTCTTTTTTTATGTTTACTATCATTTTATGTTCTTAGTTAGCTCATCCATTCTTCCCCTAAGTTCCTTGAGCATCCTTATAGCCATTGATTTAAGTCTATATCTGGTAGATTGCTTATCTCCCTTTCATTTAGTTATTTTTCTAGGGACTTATCCTGTGTGGTTTTTTTTTTTCATTTGGGGCATGTTTCTTTGTCTTCCCATTTTGGCTGCCTTTCTGTAATTGTTTCTGTGTATTAGGTAGATCTGCTATGCCTCTCAGCCTTGGGTTGGGGCCTTAGGTAATAGGTGTCCATGGGACTCTGCTGCAGTCTCTCCATCACCTAAGCTGGGTGCTCCAGGAATGTTTCTTTTGTAGTTGAGTCTTGATTGCTGTTGGCCCATCCATGGGTGGTGTTGATTCTAGGCTGGCTAACTATTAGGATTGTCACAGACTACAGTGTACAAGCTGCTGTGCGGGGGCTGACCGGGTGATGTAGAATTTGCCCCAGCAGAGTCTGGTACCTGCTGAGATCCCTTTTTGGACGTGCTGTTTATGCAGCTAATTGCATTGTGTTCTGATGTTGTCTGAATCCCAACACTGGGTATATTGGTTCTGGGGCCTCTTAGGAAGGACTCCAATGAAGGTCAATGTCAGGTGCTGCCTGTTACTAGCCCCGAGTACTTGTTTTGAGCTACAGAGCAATCCAGTTTGTGGCTGCCTCTGCTGGGCCTGGTTGTACATGGGAGGGGCAATTACACACCAAGGCCGGCTTCCGCCAGCGGCGAGCCTGGGGACAGGTCAACGAAAGGTCCAAGGCACCCTGAGATCTGCCTTCCTTTGCCGGCTGCCTGTTAGGCTCAAGCTCAGTCACTGAAAGAGCTTCTGGTGGTACATGAGTTGCATGAGGTATGTTCTTGGTGAGTCACTAGGTAGGGGCGAATGGTGTTCATTGATTGAAATAGATTTGAACTTAGTACCAGTGCTGGGACTGAGGCAACTCAGCAAAAGTCTCTGGGTTATACCATACCAGCCTCCACCCACCAGATGCCTGCCAACCTTCGTGGTGGGACAGGCCTCAGGGAGTCATCAGGGTGGGGCCATCAGAGCTCATCAGGCCCAAAGAGACCAAGATTTGGCCGCATGGAGAGAGGGCTGTGCACAGGAATGGTGGTGCTGGGAGGGCTGCGAGGGAAGGTGTATTCTCCCTAGAACCACACAGCTCAGTCTCTCCCTCTTTGAAGGCCTTCAAGATAGTCTACTTCGAGGGCCCAAGCTGGCCACAGCCAGCTGACTCCCTGCATGGCACGCTTGGCAGCGGGGGGCCACTGGTGGTCATGAGGATGGGGCTAGTAGGTCTCCTGTGAGCGGGCAGCAGCTGTCCAGCATGGGGAGGGTCCCACCCCAGAGACACACAACTCAGTCTCTGATACCCCTGAGGATGTCCTCAGGAGGCCTCCCAGAAAGTCTACACCATGGGTTCCGGCAGCTCACTCTTCGAGAGGGTGTGAGCTTGTCAGGGTGGGAGAACAGAGAGTCTGGAGCGGGGAGAGGGGGGGAGGGCTAGTGCATTCCCCGTATGGAGGGGAGTGTTCCACCAGGAAAGATGGTGTCTGTGAGCCGTGTGGGAGAGGGACTCAGCAGGGGACCCTGGTGGCTGTCCCTTCAGCTCTCTCAGGTAGTATTGCAGTTTAAACTCGGGCAGTCTGGCTCCAGGTCCCCACCCTTAGTCATTTTCATGAACTACAGTAGCTTTCAAACTTACGACAGCAACCTACAATGACATGTATTGTGACACAGAACCACACCTTATAATTGAAACAAGGTTCACAGAAAATACTCACCCTTAACGTAGGCAGTGTCCTCTGGTTCTTTCCCTTGTTGCACTCTCTCTTATTCTCTCTCTCCTTCCCTTCCTTTTTTATTCTCCCACAACCTCCCAATTGAAAAACAGTGCAATACTTCCTTTCACTGTTTGCTCATTTGCCAGATAATTCATTAGGGCTGACGATGGGGATAGAAAGGTGAAGAAAGCATACAGGGCCCTGTCTCCATAGAGTGTACAGCCAGAAGGTTTGCAGATGAAATACAATTGGAAAAAACATATTGTATATGGAAACCCCTCCAGATGTAGGAAAAAATCTGTTAGGTATCAATCAGGCTTACAATACCTGGTAAATATACAACTATTTAGTAATAGAAATTGAAAGACTATAGAAGAGGGACAGTTCATAATAATAAAATAATTAGTATATTCAGACAGTGGAATGCTGTGCAGCATTTGCAGTAATGACCTAGAGCAATGTATATCAGTATGAATATATCTCAAAAACAAGTTATAAAAGCATAATAAACATAGTATAATACAGGGCAAAAACACATTACCATATAATATAATGCAGTATAATACAACACACTGTAAAAGTATAGTATACTATAACATCACCTGTGTAAAAATTTTATGTATAAAAACCACGGAAGGAATGACCACACACCAATTTTAGAATAATGCATATTGCTCTCTAGGGTGGGAGAAAGTTGAGGTCTTACCAAATCTTTTTTTTTTTTTTAATATATTTTATTGATTTTTTACAGAGAGGAAGGGAGAGAGATAGTGAGAAACATCGATCAGCTGCTTCCTGCACATCTCCTACTGGGGATGTGCCCGCAACCCAGGTACATGCCCTTGACCGGAATCGAACCTGGGACCTTTCAGTCCGCAGGCCGACGCTCTATCCACTGAACCAAACCGATTTCGGCCCAAATCTTATTAAAGTAAAAAGATTTAATAAATGTTGGCAGAATTTCACCATTGTTAAGTCTGTTTGGTTATCTCATCACTTTTGGTGCTTTTCTGCACATTTTAAATGTTTAATGATTAAAAGTTTAAAAGGTAAAATGAGTTTCTGTGCTGTGCCACTTTTCTTTGTCTGGTGCCTGCACATTTCTATGTTCTGTGCCTTCAGCTGGTGTTCTCTGTGACATTAATGTTATATAACTCTAAGAGAAACCACTGTAGCCACAAGTATTGGATGGTGAAAGAGATTTGGGGATGTCACGATTTAGGGTGCTGTTCCTGGCTTCCCAGCAGGTGGCGCTGCTCCACAGCAGATGTGAGGTAAGGCAGCCTCCCCACCCTCCCAGTGTGAAGCGCTGCTTTACCCAGATGCCTGAAAGGAGGATATCTAAGTATGCGCAGCTTTCTTTATGAAAGGAGTACAGAATCCCCCCATTTGTCCTTGTGTAGGTATCACATTTCTCTTGCGTATTTATAGCCTTGGCCGTGTCTGTGCTGCCAGGTGTGGCATGTGCCCAGCGCTTTCTCTGCTATTGTGTTGAGGAGCCTGCTGCTAATGTGTGGAGAACTTTGTCCTGTTACATTGACCAGGGAACTTTCCTTTTCTTTTAGGTGGAGAAGGATTATTCTTACTTGAAGGAGATATGTGATCATCAAGCAGAACAGCTGAGCAGAACCAGCCTAAAACTACAAGAGAAAGCGTCAGAGAGTGATGCAGAGATTAAAGACATGAAGGAAACCATATTTGAATTGGAAGATCAGGTGGAACAGCATCGAGCTGTCAAGTTACATAATAATCAGCTCATCAGTGAGCTAGAGAGTAAGTGAAATCAAGCCCTGGTGAAATGTCAATCAGGAGTGGATAGGATATAAAAGAAGCCAGCAGCAGTGGGCGACTGGGAGATGGTGTGTAGGAATGTTTATGAAAAGCCTTTCTTTTGAATGTTCTATAATCTCTTAAGAATGGCAATTAAAAAGACAGAATAATTACTCTCTTAAACTAAGTTGAAAACTGGGTGATGTAGAAGAAAAGATGGTTGTACGTGAGTCAGCAGTGTGGGGTGTTAGGTATACCGTGTGTGAGCCACACTGCTGAATACACTCGTCAGGCATAACAATGTGTCCTCTTTCAGGATTGATGGCTAAAAAGATGGGTGACAGATGGTTAGAGTATCTGAACAGTGTGTGCTCTTGGTGTCGGAAAACAATTTCAGCATGTGTCCTATTGATAGTAGGATATCAAATAGCTGAAAAGGTGGCCATTTTGTCACTGAAGAGGCACTAGTATATGGCTTATTTACAAAGTCATTGTCTGCTTTGAATAGGGAAAGACATGTTTAAAAGTGATCAGTCAAATATTGCCTGCTTTGTCCAGATTAAGTCTTATCAAATGATCTCATTTCATGTGTTTTGCTTTTGTAACAAAAGAATTAATGCATAGATCTTTTAGTGACACTAACCATTGCTAAAAATAGCATAGGTCAAACTGATCATTCATGGAATCCATATTTGTGAGTTCACCCACTTGCCAAAAGTTATTTGTAACTTCAAAATCAGAGTTCGCAACACCTCCACGGTCATTTGCAGACGTGGGCAGGGCAGTGAAAAATTTGAGTCTCCCAAAGTGCACCCCAGCTCAGGTTGAACTTGGTGGCAGCTTCTCACTTCACCTCTCCCACTGTAAACAAGTCTTTTTCATGGTTTACTTAGTGCCATGATTTTTGCATTTTTGTGCTTTTTGTTGGTGATTTCACTGTTTGAAATGAACCCCAAGTGTAGTCCCCAAATGCTGTGTGGTGTACCAAGGTGCAGAAAAGCTGTGATGCATCTTGTGGAGAAAACAGGTGTGTTAGGCCAGCTTTGTTGAAACCCGATTCTAGTGCTCTTGGGTGTGAATTCAATCTTAGCAAATCAGCAGTGTTCATTGAGTCATTCAATGTTAACCAAAACTTAGAGGAAGTTCACCAATCTGCACAGGAGATTGCTCCAGAAGGTGCTAAAAGTAAAGTCTGTGGTGTTTGATGAAGCTGTGGAAAAACACCAAATTTGTAGCTTCATGCGGTAACAGCCAATTAAAAACCACACACAAAAAACATAGTGGACAGCATTACTGTAAAGCAAAAAGCAGACAAATTTGTAATCACGTTTTCCAGGATCAGGAAAGGGCTAAACTCTTCTCAGTGGGTGCTGGCAGGCTTGCATGGCTCAAGGGCAACACAGTGAGTGAGAAAAGTTAAAAACTTGCAGGTGCGGCAGGTTCTGCAGATCGGGAGGCTATGGGAAATTTTTAAAAATACCTGTTATGCAGGAAAAGGGTTATGTGGGCAAGCAGGTGTCCAGCATTGATGGGAGGGGCTTTTTTTAAACAAAGACACTGGCAAACAAAGTTATTGTATAAAACATAAATAGCTCCCTTCTGGGCCTGGGGCTAGCAAAAGCAGACCTTGGTGCACATCTTGGTCTTTTCCAAAGGCACCCAGTCCCAGCAGAGGGAGCCACAAGCTATGGATTGCTAATAGCTACAAACAGGGTACTCAGGGTCAATCACAAACAGAGTCTGACATTGTCCTGTACTAGAGATTAGAAGCCATAGTATATCTACTTAATACACAGACACAAACCCAAGCAGGCCGTCAAAAAAAGAAGCCTGAAATGAAAGAACAAGAGAATTCTCCAGAAGAAGAGCTAAATGAAATGGAGATAAGAAAATTATCAGACATACAGTTTAGAATAATGATGATAAAGAGGCTCAACAGCATGAGAAAAAATATAGTAACTATGAAGAATGACATAGCACTAATAAGGAACACAGTGGAAGGAATATACAGATTAGGAGAAGCCAAGAATTGGATCAGTGAATTAGAAGACAGGGTAGAAAAAAACCACTCAGAGACCCAGAAAGGAAAATCAATTAAAAAACAGTAGGACAGCTTAAGGGAGCAGTGGGGCAGTATGAAACATAACAATATTCACATAATAAGTGTACCAGGAAGAAAGCGAACAAGGGATAGAGAACATGTTTGAAGAAATAATGGCAGACAGTTTCCCTAACCTGGTGAAGGAAAAAGTCACACAAGTTCAGGAGGCACAGCGAGTCCCAAGCAAGAAGAACCTGAACAGGCCCACGCCAAGACACATCATAATTAAAATGTCAAAAATTAAAGACAGTGCCAAAACCGGTTTGGCTCAGTGGCTAGAGCGTCGGCCTGTGGACTGAAAGGTCCCAGGTTCGATTCCGGTCAAGGGCATGTACCTGGGTTGCAGGCACATCCCCAGTAGGAGATGTGCAGGAGGCAGCTGATCGATGTTTCTCTCTCATTGATGTTTCTAGCTCTCTATCTCTCTCCCTTCCTCTCTGTAAAAAATCAATAAAGTATATTTAAAAAAAAAAATTAAAGACAGAGAATATTAAAGGCAGCAAGAGAAAAGCAATTCTACAAAGGAGCTTCCCATAAGGCTGTCAGCTGATTTCTCATCACAAACTCTACAGGCCAGAAGGGAATGGCATCAAGTACTCAAGGTAATGGAAAGCAAGGATCTGAAACCAAGATTACTATATCGAGTAAGGCTATCATTCAAAATAGACAGTCAAAGAGCTTTCCAGACAAAAAAAGGCTAAAGGAGTATATCACCTCCAAGCCAAAGGGACTGCTCTAATGAGAAGGAGAAACAGAGAAACCTAGGCATATAGTGTTAAAATAACAATAAATAAGTACCTATCAATAATAACCCTAAATGTAAATGGATTAAATGCTTCAATCAAAAGGCATAGGGTAGCTGAATGGATAAAAAAACATGACTCAATTGTATGCTGTCTACAAGAGACCCACCTCAGAACAAAAGACACACAAAGGATGAGAGTGAAGGGATGGGAAAAATTTCCATGCAAATAGAAGAAAAAAAAGTTGGAATAACAATACTCATATTCAACAAAATAGACTTTAAAATGAAGGTCATCACAACAGACAACAAAGGTCACTGCATAATACTAAAGAATCTATCCAACAAGAGGATAGAACCCTGGTAAACATATATGCACCCAGTAGAGGAGCACCTAATTATATTTAAAAAATCTTCCAGAGGACTTTAATGGAGAGATGGGCAACAGTACAGTCAGAGTAGGGGACTTTAACACCCCTCTGACTTCTCGGGATAGATCTTCCAGACAAAAACTTAACAAGGAAACAGTGACTCTGAAGGACGCACTTAACCAGATGGATTCAATTGAACATTTATAGAACATTTCACCCCAAAGCAGCAGAATATACATTCTTCTCAAGTGCACATGGATCATTCACAAAGACAGTCCACATGTTAGGACACAAAACAAGTCTCAGAATTGAAATCATATCAGGCATCTTCTCGGATCACAGTGGAATTAAATTAGAAATCAACTACAGTAAAAACACTGAAAAACATTCAAATACATGGAGGCTAAATAGCATGTTATTAAACAAAGACTGGGTTACCAATGAGATCAAGAAAGAAGTAAAAAAATTTCTGGAAAACAAATGAAAATGAGCACACAACAACCCCAAATCCCCGGGAATACGCACAAGCAGTCCTAAGAGGGAAGTTCATAGCACTACAGGCCTACCTCAAAAAAACAAGAAAAATTAGCAATAAAATATTTAGCCATACAACTTAAAGAACTAGAAAAAGAACAATAAGAAAAGCCCAGATTAAGTAGAAGGAAGGAAATAATAAAGATTAGAGCAGAAATAAATAACACAGAGACTAAAAAAAATATAAAATATCAGTGAAACCAAGAGCTGGTTTTTTGAAAAGATAAACAAAATTGATAAGCCATTAGTCAGACTCATCAGGAAACAAAGAGTACCCAAATTAATAAAATCAGAAATGAAAGTGGAGAAGTAACCACTGACACCACAGAAATATAAAGGATTGTAAGAAAATACTATGAACAACTATATACCAACAAGCTGGACAATATGGATGAAATGGACAAATTCGTAGAAAAATGCGGTCTCCCAAAACTGAATCAGTAGGAATCAGAAAACCTGAATAGGGCAATAACAACTGATGAAATAGAAGTGGTAATAAAAAAACTGAATTTGGCAATGTAGCAGGATACAAAATCAACACTCAAAAATCGATAGCTTTTTTTACATACCAATAATGAATTCTCAGAGAAATTAAACAAACAACCCCATTTACCATTGCAACAAAAAAATTAAGATACTTAGGAATAAACTTAACCAAGGAGGTAAAAGACCTGTACTCAGAAAACTAGAGGACATTGAAAATAGACATAGAGGAAGACATAAACAAGTGGAAGAATATTCCATGTTCATGGATTGGTAGACTCAACATCATTAAAATGTCCATACTACCCAAGGCAATCTACAGATTCAATGCAATCCCTATTAAAATACCAGTAGCATATTTCACAGTGCTAGAACAAATACTCCAAAAACTTATATGGAACCAAAAAAAGACCCCGAATAGCTGCAGCAATTTTGAGAAAGAAAAACAAAGATGGAGGAATCACATTGCCAGATTTCAAATTATACTATAAAGCTACTGTACTCAAAACAGCCTAGAACTGGCATAAGAATAGGTATATAGAGCAATGGAACAGAAAAGAGAACCCAGAAATAGACCCAAGCGAATTATTATGCTCAATTATTTGACAAAGGAGGCAAGAGAATATGGGAGTCAAGAGAGTCTCTTCAATAAATGGTGTTGGGAAAATTGGACAGATAGATGGAAAAAATTTTAACTAGACCACCAACTTACACCATACACAAGAGTAAAGTCAAAATGGATATAAAACTGAAATGTAAGTCATGAAACCATAAAAATCCCAGAAGAAACCATAGGTAGCAAAATCTCAGACACCTCTCATAGCAATATGTTTATAGATACATCTCCTAGGGCAAAGGAAACTAAGAAGAAAATAAATGGGACTGCATCAAAATAAAAAGTTTCTGCACAGCAAAAAAAAAACAAAAACAAAACAAAGCCCATCAACAAAATAAAAAGAAACCACTGTATGGGAGAACATATCTGGCAATGAATGATACATCTGATAAACAGTTAATATCCAAAATATATAAAGAAGTCATACAACTTAACAAAAGGAAGACAATCTAATTGAAAAATGGGCAAAGGACCTAAATAGACATGTCTCCAAAGAGGACATACAGATGGCCAAGAGACATACGAAAAAAAATGCTCAAAGTCACTAATTATCTGAGAGATGCAAATTAAAACAACTATGCGGTACCATCTCAGACCTGTCAGAATGGCTACCATCAGCAAATCAACAAATGACAAGTGCTGGTGAGAATGTGGAGAAAAGGGAACCCAGGTGCACTGCTGGTGGGAATGCAGACTATTGCAGCCATTATGGAAAACAGTATGGAGTTTCCTCAAAAAATTAAATATGAAACTGCCATTTGACCCAGTGATCCCACTTCTAGGAATATCCTAAGAAACCCAAAACACCAATCAAAAAGAATGTATGCACCCCTGTGTTCATACCAGCACAATTTACAATAGCTAAGGTCTGGAAACAGCCCAAGTGCCCATCAGCAGATGAGTGGATAAAAAAGCTGTGGGACATTTACTCCATAGAATAGTATGCAGAAGTAAAAAAGAAGAGTCTCTTACCCTTTGAGACAGCATAGAGGGACTTGGAGAGTATCATGCTAAGTCAAATAAGTCAGTTAGGGAAAGACAAGTATCACATGATCTCACTCATATGTAAAATCTAATGAACAAAATAAATGGATGAACAAAATAGATCCAGAGCCATGGAAACATGGCACAGACTGTGGAATGTGAGAGGGAAGGCAGGGGAGGATGGGTGGGTGGGAAGAGATCAACCAAAGATCTTGCATGCATATATGCATAACCCATGGGACACAAACAATAGGGTGGTGAAGGCCTGGGGTGGGGGATGGAGGTGTGCTATAAGGGTTTATTGGGGAAAAGGGGGGTCATATGTAATACTTTCAACAATACAGATATAAATAAGTAAGTAAGTAAATAAAACACAAATAGCATTTCATTTTATGAAAATGTGACCAGAGGCTCATAGGACCTTAACTCTGTATTTCCTGTTGAAGCAATCCTATAAAATAATAGGCTAATATGCAAATTGACCAAACAGCAGCACCACCGGTCACTATGATGAGCAGACCACCAGGGGGCAGACACTCAATACAGGAGGTGCCCCCTGGTGGTCAGTGCACTCCCACAGGGGGAATGCCGCTGAGCCAGAAGCTGTGTTCATGGCTGGCGAGCGCAGCAGTGGTGGTGGGATCTTCTCCTGCTTCTGCAGCAGTGTTAAGGATGTCCGACTGATGGCTGCTCCTAAGCCGTCAGTCAGACATCCCCCAAGGGCTCCTGGATTGCAAAAGGGCGCAGGCTGGGCTGAGGAACCCCCCTGAGTGCAAGGATTTCATGCATCGGGCCTCTAGTAGTTTAATATTTCCTCATTGGGTTTGCATGGCACCTCTGTGTAACTAACAGATGATGAGAATTGACTGTGTATAGTTCTGCTTGATTAAGGGGAGTGTCGAGTCCAGTGTTCATTAGAACTGACACGTGGTAGAACTCTAGAGCATGGCCATCTGGGGTCAGTGTCTTCAGGCTGTCCTCAGTAGTCATGCTTGAGAATGCAGCAGAAGGCCCAGCACCATGGTCAGTGGTCAGTGTATTTCAAACAGCATCATACTTGGGAAGTAGAAAGTCAAAGAGCAGTCCGGTCTGGTTTGGTTTTTCACTTAGTGATACACAGCTGTTGAGAATTCGGTTGTGTTGTCCCAAACCCTTCGAAGTCAGCACAGGCACACCAAGCAAGAAGCATGTAATTAATGTCCAGAACACATGTCAGGCAGACTCCCTGCACCTGTATTATCACAGATGCAAGCGGGCAATAACGCAGACCATGAATCTTTAAGAAACTTTTTAGCTTCTATCAGGGATATTAAGGTATTTCTAAGATGTCTTTTCACTAGGAGTCCCAGGGACACACAAACCCAGCCAAGGATAATCACTCCTCCTCATAAGATCCTTGAAAGAAATGGACAGAAAAGTGAACTAAAACGTTAAAGAGCATTTTCTGGTTCTGCAGCACTGACCCAAACACAAATTCTTGGGCCTCACATGCTGAATTAGAATTTCTGGGGGAGGACCTGAATCTGTGGGACTTTTTAAGCTTCTCTGGTAATTCTGATTCATATTCTTAATAGACAACTGCTGCTCTTCAGTGGATCACGAGGAAGCATTGAAGGATTGTGACTAGGTAGAGGACATGATCAGATTCAAAGTGAAAAGACTCTGACAGTAACGTGAGAGAACTGGAGACAAGAGTGAGGAGCTAAAGATGTTCTGAGTGAGGGAGAGGTAGTCACGTCACTGAAAGCTCTGAAAATACACACACCCACATTCCTCTGCCCTGGGGATTCCAACTCCGTGGTCAGAGTCTGCGGCTTGGACGGCTGTGCTTTTGAAAAGCTTCCCAAGTGACTCTGAGGTTTCACTGTGATTAAGAACCGCAGCTCTAGAAATGGGCCTGAAAGGCACCACGGTACTAACTAGTCATCTCCTCTGTCTGTTACCAGAAGCCTCACAGTGCTGAGGACATTCAGGACGATATGTACAGAACTCAGGGAGGCCACGAGTGAGGGTAACAAGTGTGAGGAGCTGTAGGTGTTCCCACAGTGCCTGTCACCTGGGTAACCTAACCAAAACCCACGTGTTTTCCAGTTCACCCCGTGCTCTCCTTTAGAAGAACCTCCTGCTTCTGGCTCCCAATGTTCAGGTGCTGAGGATGGGATTCACAGTAGAGGGGGTGGATTTTAGCGCCTGTTGCACATCCGGAGCTGCTCCTTTGCTACCTTGCTTACCTTTTCCCAAGAGTCTCACAACTCTGCCAACTGCTGTCTGACTTCTTTGCTCCTAGGCAGTGTGATGAAGCTGGAGGAACAGAAAGCAGACCTGGAGAGGCAGCTAAAGACTCTGACTAAGCAGATAAAGGTGAGATGTGGTTACAGTAGGGATGGGGACCTTCTCCACCACTGTACCGGAATCCCCCTTAGGTTTGGAAACCTTTGAAAAATACCCTGATTACTCTCGCTAGCCTAGCCTGTTTTTTCATAGTGCATTTCCATGGCATGCGCCCAAGTTAGTATTGGCAGGAAGTAAAATTAAAGCAACCATTCAGTTTCAGGATGGAGAACTCTGATAGCACGAAGGCCCGACTCCCACCTGTGCCTTTTCCCTGTAGTGAGATGCCAGCGCCTCACTAAGACTGCTGAGCTGGTTTTTCTCAGTGTTGGGCACGGGGGACCCGGAGCCCCGCCAGGGTGCCAGCCCTGGTGGGCGTCTGATGTGTGTGGGGGCTCTGACATTCTCAGGAGGAGACCGAGGAGTGGAGGCGCTTCCAGGCGGACCTGCAGACGGCGGTGGTGGTGGCCAATGACATCAAGTGTGAGGCCCAGCAGGAGCTGCGCACTGTGAAGAGGAGGCTGCTGGAGGAAGAGGAGAAGAACGCGAGGCTGCAGAAGGAGCTGGGGGACATGCAGGGCCATGGCAGGTTGGTCATGAGTGGGGGCACCCGAGTCTGAGGGCTCCTGGAAGTGCTTGGCTTCTCACTAACCACCTTGCACGGCCCTCCGTGACGCTTTATGTCTCTGTGCTGAAGTTGTTCCCTTGTCTACCTCTACTGCCATGCACACCCGGGAACACTCCTTCCTGTACTGGTCTCTGCCGTTCTCTGGCTTAAGGTGTTGAGAAAGCTCTTCACTTACATGTGTACAGAAGCTCTAGCCCGGTATCTCCTGGGCTAAAAGGTTAAAAGTCACGCCCAGGGTGCTCCTGAGGTCTTAGTGTCTGTTAGTGCTGGGACGCGCACACCTCAGCAGCTGTGGCAGCACCTGCCCGGCTCACTCGGTGCGGTGGGAAGTGTCGCCAGATGCAGGGCTCGCTCTTCCTGGCCCAGGGCAGCATCAGCATCTGCAGGCTGCCTCAGAAAGCCTTTGAAACAAGCCACTTCGTTAAAAAGAATGAGCGTGGAAAACACATCTAGCTAATACATGATTCTCGCTTCTGTTCTTGAGGGAGGGGAATCACACAGTGTATGGTTCCAGAAAGCTTTAACAACAAAATTTCAGAGGGAGGCATTCCTAACATTAATTATGGTTAAAATTTAAATGGTTTACAAACAAGATTATAAGTAATATTTTGGGCTTTAACTAATGCAGTGTTATATTTCCCCAATCAGGAATAAATGTCCTTAATTTTGAAATTATTGAATATTAAGAAAAGATTTTGAATTTTCAGATGTCTCCCCAATGTAGTATTTTTTAAAATATATTTTTATTGATTTCAGAAAGGGAGAGGGGGAGAGAGATAGAAACATCAATGATGAGAGAGAATCATTGATCAGCTGCCTCCTGCACTCCCCCTAATGGGGATCAAGCCCACAACCAAGGCATGTGCCCTGAACAGGAATCAAACCATGACCTCCTGGTTCATAGGTTGATGTTCAACCACTAAGCCATGCTGGCTGGGCTCAAGTGTATTTTAAACTGAAAGTTAGTAGGTATGAATGCTGATTGTACGGTTTGCGCTTTTCCTATGTTTTCAGAATCAGGAGGTTGTTCATTGGCTAGATTTTGAGTCTGATATGTTATGAATTTTATGACATTGTAAAGAATAGATTTTCTCAGAATTCCATTTTGATTCTCTTACCAAACTTGCTTCAATCCCTCATTCTTTTGTTTATGACTTTTCTATGAAATAGCCTCTAAGAGAAGGATTAATATGTGTAGCTGATTTCATAGTTCACTTTTGAAAATCAAGATCATTTTATAGTCACGCCTATACTCTCTGGCCACCATAGCGTGTGAATTTTAAGTTGAGGGAGAAGAATAGGAAAACTAGATTTCATCGAGTTCCCTATTGAAACATTTTGAGGTCATTCTAGTTTTCTTTTGTGTTTCCTTTATTTGTCCATTTGTTTTGGTTTATATTGTGTGTTTTTGGAAGAGGGGCAAAATTGTAACTTGCATCACTTCATTTGTACATCACTTTAAAGATGAATGGTAAAAGACAAGTCTTGAGTTTGTGTTATCGTATGAGATGCCACATTTCTTTTTTTTTTTAAACAAGCAGCCAGGTATTTAATAAGAGATATGCTTATGGAAACAGAAGAATAAAAGCAAAGGTTAATGGTCAGAACAGATTATAAACTAGTTTCTGAGTTTGTAAGATTTTCAGTCAAGAAAATTTTTTTATGTAAGACAAAGTTTCTTTTGTTGGAATGAAAGCAAGCAGTGAAATCTGATAGATCCTCTTTATCTGCAGTTTAACTATCTCTGGTGATGTCATCAGGTGCTCAGGTAAATTATAGGTGATCTGAGTTACGGCACTGTAAGGTACCTGTGGTCTGGATGCCAAAATGGCACCAGTTGTTACTGATGAAGTTGAAGGTGAAGGAGGTGGTAGGAGTGAGCCAGCTGGGCTGCATAGGCTCCAGAAACAAGGTCCATCTGGGTCATCAGAAAATGTTACCAAGCAAGGACCTGGCCTCGGGCCGGCCTGGAGTGTGTGAGTTCTTGACTTTGTGCAGGAAAGATTTCACTACATGCGTTCAGGTGATTTTGAGAGGACGTTATTAAGCTGCGGAACAAGGAGGGGCCTAGGGTAGAGGAAACAAGAGGAAAGAGACGAGGCAGGGCTGCTCTGGCTTTCCAGAAACATTGCAGGAGAAACGTGAGCCAAGGCAGGGCTGTGTCAGCCACTGGAGTAAGAGAAAGCTTCAGGAGTGAGCTGCCACTGCCCACTGCTGCCCTGGTTACAAGTCTCATGGAGTCCCTTAGAGCAGTGGTTGCCAACCGGTGGTCCACGGACCACTGATGGTCCTTGAGGTCCGAGAGGTTGGCGGCTGCTGCCTTATAGTTGAGGAGATGCACGCCCGTGGGGAAGGAAGAGGGGAGGGAAAGGAGCAGGCATGCTCCTGAGAGGGAGATCGTGCTGAGGTGCTGCGTTTTTAACATAGACTCTAAGATGCAGCCCCAGTTATTCAACTTGAACCCTGATATCACAGGACATGTTGGCATGCATCTTGACAGTTTAGTGTTCCATATGCTGTATCCGACATCTTCAAACTTAAGGTCACTTTTTTTTTTTTTAACACAATATGTTTCTCTTTTGATTTTCCAGTGATTTGCAAACCTACCTCCAAAGTCCAGCAGTTTAATGCCTTATTGCAAAACACTTCAAACGTTAGAATCACACCAATACAGAACATGGCATATTACTGAAACCCTGTAGGCTTCAGTGTGTGCTTGCCGATCACTGCATTGGGCAGCACTTCAGACAACTGCCAGGGCTGGTCTCTTGTCTGATTCTGCGCCTCTCTTGCAAGCTGCCCCTTCTAAAGAGTTGACTATTTGATTTGAAAGTTACTACTCGCTGATGGCTCAGCCACTTCCTGAACCTACCACTTGATCAAGACTTGAAACCAACTCATACCCTCAAAGGTCCTGAAGTGACATAGTGTTCCCTTCTTGACTGATGGTTCTTGACTGAAAGGCAATTTGACTTTGACAGTCATCTAATAAGAACTCAAAAGTCATTCTTGGTTCAGGCACAGCCAAAGAACCTGCAAAAACTCTCTGACGAGGTCTCCCAAGTGCGACCAAGAGAAGGTAAGAGCATCTGAAAGCACCTTGATCGTAACACAGGACTCACTGATTTACATCCTCATTTGCATATACAGGCATTTGAGGGAAGATTGTTAGGCTAGTGGGAGGGCAAATGAAGTTCGTATTTATTACCAAGAACTCAATAACTAGACAAAGTGGACTATTAAGTAGTTTTGTATTTTAGATAGTTTGAAAACTTAGCTCATTAGTGATCATCATCAGTCCTATTGGGTTTTCAAAGGTATTTTTTAGAGTCAGAATAACTGATGCTAAGGTGTACGGGAAAATGAGGTTCGAGCCTCCTCTTTGCCACGAACTGGCAAGGTTTCCTTCCCAGACCCAGCTCCTTCCTCTCTTAAGCGAGGAGATAACAGCAGGTTGCTTTTAAGGCCCCGTAGGCTCTGCTGTTCCTGAGAGTATGGGTCAGCTGAGAGTCAGGTGCCCGCAGCACTTCCTTCCCGTGCAGTCCTTGGACCCTCCTTGCCACGGTGGCACTTCCATAGTCCAGCTGGGCTGTGGACCTCGTCTTTCTCTTCCAGAAATTGGAAAAGCCAGGATAGTTTTCATGGATCTGCAAGTGATGTGCTTTGTTGGACATGTACAAATTAATGGAGGAAAGATAATAAATAACTTTTCAACTCTGGCTTCTTTCCATTTTGAACCATTAAGAGAAAGACACTGAAGTGAAAACTTTCCTTGAAATTAAAACATCGAACCTTTTCCCTGAAACGTTGAGTCCTGGGGCCTGGCAGACAGAGAACATGCATGCAGTGCGACTTAAGGACTTGATGGGCCACATGCAGTGTTTCTACAGAAAGTCATTGTCGATGGCAGCACATGACACGGCCCTCAACAGCAGCGGGGGAAGGCCCAGGGGTCCCTCAGCAAAGACCATTGGTCTTAGGGTGACTTCCTCGGTTTTCACTGTGTATCATAAGACACCAATAAGCACCCATGGCAGATGTCTCAAAAAGAGGTCATGGAAAACACTACACATCTGTGCCTAATTAACTGTGTCCGTTTCTAAAACAGCCTGTCTGCGATTCAAAATGTGTGTGCACCACTTAGCTCGTACCACTTGTTCTCGTGTTGTCACCTCTCCGCGAGCAGCATGGCTGCGTATCACCACCAGACTCTCTGGGATTGGCTTTTAACTCTGCGTGTGCGCACGTGTTCTGCCCTGATGTCAGCCGTGTGCCTGTGCCGCCCTTGTGTTGTTGTTACAGCTGCAATGCGTCAGCTGCTCGCCCAGGACTCCGTGGTTGTCTCTGAAAGGGGGCTATAGATTCATGTCACTTAGTTATCTCTCCAGCTCTCTTGCTGCAGATGCTTTGATGCAGCATCCCTGGCTCTGGGGGCCGGGGGCCAGTTCCCAGGGAGATTCCTGAGCAGTTTCTGAGGCCTCACATTAGTACTTTTGATTGCCAGGAGCCTCCGGCATTTTATTCGGTCAGTGCAGAAACTGGTCCTCTGGTGCCCCGGCAAGCTGAATTCTTTCCCTCTTGGACTACTTATTTTTTCATAGCTTAAATTTACGTTTATGGCATTAGATGCACAGCCAGGAATTCTAAACAGCTGTCTGCTTCCCTGCTCCCCAGCCCCCATCTTTACAGATTTGTTTTGGAATGTGTGGACAGGAGCTTCCCCGAGGCCTTTAGGATTTTTATGCTGTAATAATAAAATAAACCTTTTTCTCTTTTTCTTCTTCGGCCGTGACTAGCGGACAGTAGAGGGAAGCAGAGTCACTGTGACTTTCAGAGAGCCTGACTTTTATTTCCTGGGCGCCTCCGCCTCCCCAGCACAGCTGTCTGTGGGTGAAGAGCTAGCAGAGGAGCCTCATGTGGCATTGTGAAGTCTTTAGCATTTTCCCTGTCTGACGCCTCCT